CCCAGCTATTCAAACAGGCCGCGTGAGAGAATTTCGAAAAAAAAACTACAGACAAATAAGAAAACATGACATCATCTTATGACATTGTTACCTGAAGATTTGCATTGTTAGATTTGCTTAACAACAACAACAACAACAACAACAAAAAGTAATTTTTAACGGAACATTTTAGGTGAAACAACTTGAAGTTACTTTCAGTAATATAAATCTATCCATTTATCTGTAGTACTAAAATTTACTCTTATTTCATATACTTCCATAATCTGTCTTGTTACATTTTCTATTTGTTTATCAATGTTAATAACCATGCCAATTATATGTTTGAAAAAAGAGACAACTTTTAAGGTCACATTGTTGTTTTTAACATAATACACTTGTATACACTACGAATTAAACATTGTAAATGTTATTTTCATGCATTTATTTAGATTGTATATGTCTATTGCAGAGACATATCGGTGCTATTTAGGTCAAATAGGCCAGTTTATGTTTCCATACAAGATCATTCTGTTTTCTTTATTTATCAAATAACTGATAGGTATTTGATATTAAGTTAGACTAAGTCATTGATTTAGGAAATAAAACGGTTCATATTTTAAAACAATTAGTCCCTTTAATAAATTTAGACAAAGTAATAGAAAGACAAAGAGTATCAGAACTATATGAAATATATTGACGTAATACATTTTGATTAATCAGATCATACATATATTTTAATAGTTGAATTCATGAGTCAATTGAAGCTAGACCATCATGGAAAGCCTGGATTGGTTGAAGTTAGACATTAACACCATTAGATCCCGGTCGGCTCAGGTTAAGTGTTTGCGCGCGAGACCGATAGGTCCTGGGTTCGGATCTTACGAGGCGGGATCGTGGATGCGCGCCACTGATGAGTCCCATACTAGGATGAAACGGCCGTCTAGTGCTTCCAGGTTTTCCATCGTGGTTTAGCTTGACTCATGAATTACTATAATATCCTCAATCCCATTTCTGATTATAATACATATGTTTGTTGAGAACATTAATATATTAGACGATAAAAGATCAACTAGACAAATCGATGGTAAGAGAAAATATAGATAATCAAGATAAAAAATCAATGTTACCATGGTAGGTTTAAGATAACAACAAACTGTTTTTGAATATATAAAAGAGGTTTGTATGCCGAAGACTTCAATAAATGCCCTTGAACACTTTTGTTCAAAATCATAAAAGCCGAGTTAAGATTAATCTTATAACCTGTTTCAAATGTGTTTAGCAAGAGAGAACAATGAATGTTTGTTATCTACTCTTGTCAGATCATTTGATTTGATTTAGGTACATGTTCAGACACCCTAACTTGCCGATCATGATTATTCCTCCCTATGTATATGTGGCCACACACACACACTTAAATTGGTAAAGACAATGGTATGTGATTCAATCGTTCACATCTTGTTTAGGTTTCCGGTGAAGCATGGACGTTGTTTTCTCTTTGATATTGACCTTTGACACACAGTTCGTTTTGTTGACAATTGATTTGAGCATTTGCTTCAACAAAAGGCTGTTTGATTCATTTCTCAATCTTAGGTTGATGTAGGTAAGCTATTTCGGTGCTGAAAATGTACTAGGTTCCAGCATACTGTGGCTTTTCTATCGATTTATCATTTTTATAGGATAACCACTCCCCATCAATGTTTTGTTCAGTGACCTCACTTCGTCATCAATATTATCGTTTGTACAATGAGTATATGTGTGAAATGTACTACGCTAATATATCTCACATAGTTTTGATAATCTTCGTCTTCTTATTACATTTTGTGAAGTTCACGTTTCAGTTTCATATAAAGCATATGAACAAATGGTTTACCATTGTATTCATTGTCAAACAATAGTTCATAAAGATGAATATTCTTTTTAGAAAAAAGTGATAAGTAGTCATGATTCTGTAAATTCTAAGTGACTCCTACAACAGTGACACCTAGTTATTGAAACTGAAAAGATATATAAAATAATATTGAGAATTTCTAGGTGTCATACATAAGTGATATGGAGGAGGATAGACATAGCGTTGTAGATAAATAGTGCAAATCGACTCAATGAAGTAATGAATGTGTACAGGTGTAAGTGTGCATTGAATTAGGCTTCGTATACGTGAAGTTCTCGTCTCTGTAATTTTGCATGGAACGGGAAATGAATGTTAACGGTTTACAAATCATTCAAACAAGTCGTTACGAGTTATGTAGGGAAGTTGTAATTATTCCAAATGGAGTTGGCAATATGAAAATGTAGTGAACGAAGACTTAGGTGGAGATAATCAATTTATTATTTAACGCACAATCACACAGTGGTTTAGTAAAATGTGAATATCATACATTAAATACATCATTTGTACATCTTTAAATTGTCTCCTAAAAACTTCATTGTTCCTTCCTTCTCGTTGTTATCTTGATTGCTTTTAGTTCCCCTCTATCTTCTCTTCATTTCAATCTTCTGTTTGCAGACATTTTACTTATGATTGCTGTTACATACTACTTATATCTGCAAACATAAGTAGCATATATCACAATAGTTTATTGCTGTTATTATCACAGTGAATTAATCACAAGACTCAGCTACATGCTTCTAAACATCCTGCAACATGTCATTTAACTTCTTCATATATTTTCTTCCTTGTGTTCACATTTTCCAACATTTTTAATAATCTCTTCAAGTGTGACTGGTAGCAAATTTGGATCGAGATATTTTATTATCAAAAACATTTAACTCCTTTTTATCTTTAAGGTTAATTTATACTTACTTATGCCTGTTACTCCTTGTGGAAGAGAATAGACCGCTCACCAGCACTCTCCATCCAACCATGTTCTGAGCAATTCTTCCCAGCTCTTTTCAGTTGTTATTCATCCTTTTCATATCTGCTTCTATTTCCCGACGTAATGTGTACTTTGGCCTTCCTCTTCTCCATTTCACTTCACAATTCCAAGCTAGGGCTTGCCTTTCAATGCAGTTTGATGATTTCTGTAATGTATGTCCTATCCACCTCCAACGTATCTTTCTAGTTTCGTCCTCATCTGGAAGCTGGTTTATTCTCTCCTACGATGGGCTAATTTATGCTCTATAAAAGATTTCCTTCACGAATCATTTCAGTTCTATTTCTTTTTCATTTTTTTTTTACAAGTTTACACTGTTTAAATGTTTATTTTTTGTTTAACTCTGGAGACAAATTCATCAGGATGTCTTTTTCCTTTTTTTTCTCTCTCTGCTAAGTCTGAACTCTAAAGTCGTAATAATCTGGCGCTCTTTTTTGTTGTTGTTGTTGTTGTTACATGGTTGTCTATTTACAAATAGTGTTATAGATTGTAATTTGAACAATTTGTTAATGTATCTTTTAACTAGATTATTTCTCTTTTTTTATTTTCTTTGCTGGACATTGGATCAGTTCATGAAATCCTTCATTATCATTGATCTTAATCAAATAGAGATTTTTTGATTTCGGTTTTTTTTTCTCTCTCACTAATACTCATCATTTATGTGATTTAAGTTGTTGTTGAGTGATATGGCGTCGTCAACTTTCATTGTTTTTTGTTGTTGATATTTTTCTGTAAATATTCAATTTATTTGTTATTTCTTAATTTTTCTTTTGTTTAACCACATTTATTTGAATTTTCATTGCAATTGATGTTATTCTATTTTTTTTTTAAATTTCTATAACTCTGCTGGTGTTAGTAGATGTGTGTGTGTGTGTGTAAATATAGCAACTTCCATTTTTGAGGAGTGTCATATTGGGACGAAACAGCCGTCCAGTCCTTCTAAGTTTTTCAGTAGTGATCTACCATTGAGCAGTTCAGGATCTCAATGAGATTTTACTTAGCGATTAAGTTTTTTCTCTATCTCTCTCCCCCCATATATTTATTCGGTGACTAGAAATTCCGATTGTCTTAAACACAAAGTGCTTACTTTTTTTGAAGGTTTTTCTAACTATACTTGGTGCCTAATACATTAAAAACTAAACGAATCTTTATTTCCTTAATGGTTTTATTACGCTTGATTTCTTTTATAACGAAAATCTTTGTACATTTTGTAGTTACAAACCATATAAAGTAACAGTTCTGTAGGAAGTTACCTAATTAATGATCCAATGTTATGTATGATTACAAGGTCCTAAGTAGTTAACGTTTGCTTGGGCAATTAAGTAATCAGTCTTAGGTTTTAATAAGGTATCAGCTCATTACCGACAAAAAGAGAATTTAACCACAGAAATAATGTCATTTCACTAACAATAACATAAGGTTTCATTACAGATAGTAAGATATGGGAATTATAGAGGTAACATAACGAAAACTCATCACTCCAAAGTCTTTGTGTTTTTGCTTTGAAGAAATACCGTTTCATAGTGTGTACAACAAGAGGATGTTTATCTCTCAACCACCTTCACATCTAACATACCATGCCGAATTGAACTTTTGTATTTCAGTCCTGTTAATGTTTATGATAATAGAGAATTACTAAATCAAAGAGAATTACCTTCAAGTTGTTCTATAAGAAATTACCATAAAATTACTTCAATCAAATTATTTTAATAGAAATAGACTCAAACGACGTTCATTAATTAATTTTTTTTCGAAGTTATGTTACGAACGTTTTACGTAGGTATCTACAAAAAAAAAATAAAAACAAGTGGTTTCACATGGTTTCGTCTTCATAAACACACTCAGACATATACACATACAGACAATTCACGTTTTATTATTTCAGTTTGTTTATCATCACATAACTTCGCTTGGTTTCTATTTTAGTATCGATGTTAACTTGTTATTCTGTATCGTAGTTTAACTCACGTAACGTGTAACTTGATAATAATAATAAGCTAAGATCAGCGATTCATTGTTGTTTGTTTAACGAAAAAAAATGACTAACTACATTTTGAGAAACAACACATTGCTTGTTTATTGTTATTTGGGTTTACAAATTAATAATTTGTTTGTATTTTCTGTTACTGTCTCTGTTTCTCTCTCTATCAGGTCTCGTTATCCGAATATGGATCAGTTGGCTGATATGATCACATCGGTCCTTGTTCATTTTGGGCAAGTTTTCGTTTGTTTTTTGTTTCTTCATAATGCTTATCAAAAGTTGTAGTGATATGCTTTTCATTTCTGCTTTTTCAATGTTAATTGTTATTAATGTAAGATGACTTGTGGAGATAGTAGTATTTTGACCGTTTGAATCACGAATTAATTCTAGCTAGGCCGCTATTGAAAACCTGGAAGCACTGGATAGCCGTTTTTTCTTAGTGAGAAAGTCTTCAACAAGCGGGTGCCTAACTCAGGATCTTCGACCTTGTGGATGAACACTTATCCTCCGGGCAACTGAGTCGACGTCTAACGATGTGAACGTCTAACTTCAATAAATTCTAAGTCGTTTGTGAGACAGTTTTCCACTGTGGGAAATTAATTTCTGTCGCACATTATCGTGAATTGATTAGTAAAGAAAATAATAATGAACTGTCTTATTCGCGTTTTAGCTTTCAACTTATCTACTGTGTATACTCTGAAATTAGAATAAAACGATTGTCGAGTACCCTCTAGTTATCAATGGTTCTTTAACTAATATCAGTTTGTAGTGAAAAGCAATATTGTAATTAGGTAGGGTTTATGTTTTACCGCTGTTAATGTTCCGAACTATATTTGAACAGTCTTTGTTGGCATATTAGATCCCTAAGTAAGATGTTTGTTGTTAAAAATGAATTATAAATATGTTTTCCAAGTTGTTGCTAACACTGGGATGAAAGACGTTCATTTCTTTCTATTTGGGACTCATCATTCAGATATATCTCTATCTAAATGTTGATGTTCATATTTAGACTTGAATTCAGTGCCGTCTATTTCAAATAACAATACGTTATATATAAAGTTAGTGAACCCAGATAGCTGTTAACTTACGGATAATAGCAGTAAGGATTTGCGTCAATAATACATCTATCGGAATTTAATAGTTGACTGATGAACTAACTGTTAATCAGCTAACATTAGACTATGTAGGTAATTGATGGGATTATTTCCTGTTATATCCCGGCGAGAATTATGAACTATTTGACCAGTAAACCATTATTTAACGATTTACCATTCTTGATTTATGTCCAGTCTATTGATTACAGTCTTCCACATTCACATCCACTTTTGGCTTGATTTTCTAACAACGTTAGTTTCTATTTTATGGTACGATGTGGTCTGTTTGGTTTGTATATAAACCCAGCATAATTGAAATACATGATTCATATCGCCAAGAAAGTCCTACTCACAGATTTTTTTTCGCTACAGGAGTGTTGTTCACGAAATTGAAAGTAGGAAAAGCGGATTTCCGGATTAGTGGACACGGAGTGCATCTAGGGGAGTTGGAAAACCCTGATTTCAAACCAATGGTTCACATGGGCTCCAGGATACTAAAGGAACAAATGGCGTATTAACCTATCATTGGTCACCGGCTACCATGGGATTTCATCTCCTGATTTTGTTCCACTGTCTTGTGGATCAGACTTTTAGGTCGAAGGCTTCCAGTGTGAACCCCTAAGAAAACTACCTGCTTCGGTTTGGGAACCCGGGCAGTATCACAGCCCTCACACATATCAAATGAGATCTGTGTGGCGCATATGTATTTGGTGCCTCCTTGTACCAATATCTATGTGTTAAAATGAAATATAATAATAATACTTCTTTAGCATTTGTATATCATTAAATGGTAATAGATTCAAGCCTCTATCATAATATCTCTTCAACATTAATAATAATAATATCTTGTATGGGTTGTTTATCATTAAAACTAAATTGTTTTCCATTTAAATCTATTCATTATCTTCTTGTTTTAAAACATGTTCTCTATTCTTTCTTTTTTCTTTTCATATTCACTGATAATTGACGTTTTGTTTGGATTATTAGGCTTCTATTTATTTACTTATTCTTTATTGTTATTATTGTTGTTGTTTGATCTTCTTTCTTTGTTTCTTTTCAAATATAGAATAAACTATTTTTTGGGTTTTGGAATGGGAGCTGGGTCAAATATTCTTGCTCGTTATGCAGTAAGTTGATAATGATTAGGATGATTGACTGATTGTTGTTAATTTAAACAATAGTCTTGCATATATATATCGATGATATTTTATAAAGAGAGATTGATATATTGCATAGAATGTGGTCTCTTCTAGTTGAAATTTACTTATGTTTTTTTAGTTCAAATAAGTATTAGTGACCTTAGGATTAGATTTGCACTATGATGTGTTACGATGAACATGATATACATTAGCTGATGGGATTTTGCTGACATTAATTTAATTTATAGCTTATATTTGTTGGAGATTAATCACAGTTACGAGTATGATTGAAGACTAATAAGTATTGAACGATTGTTTTATCCTAATGTATGATTTTGTAGCAATACACAATCATGATACTTTAAGGGTTCGATATCAGCTCGTTTAAGTCTCAAAACGGACATTTAACTATTAGAATTATTGGGTTATCAACTAATAGTACAAATCATACAACAATCAATTTGCCATATAGTACGATATTCATAAAATGTCATCGTTGACAACTGTTTCACTACTGATACATCGTCATACTGTAGTGAACAAAAATACCAATGGGGACAATCGAATGTATTTGACATTAAATTACAGCGCATCTCAATAAAATCTGAGAACCATATAGTAAATTGTTAATTTGAATAATATCAATCCATCAAATCAAACTTGACTGTTCCTGTTGTAAACATCATTCCATTGTCTCAAATTTCTTTGTTCATGCATTCTCATACCAATTGTGTTCCGTTCACGTTCTTTCCTTATCGATGTTCTACTGAAATACATTCTATACCTGACCACCATTATGTACTACTTATATGGATATAAGTAACTCACACCACAATTCTACTAGTCATCAATTTTTTATGATTATATGATTATGTTTATAATCTATCATCAACATTTAATTACTGAGTCTTTATATACAATCTGTCTTTTATATATTACCACCATTTAATTAACTACTTCTATGAATTCGGTGCTCATCTTATTGTGTAATGGTAACTTGAACCGATGCATCTATGTACCTGGTCCTACCTCGTAGCTGACTGACTTTAACCAAGGAAATGCCTAGTTTAACACAAATCAGCGTGTGCGCTGACAAAATAATTTTGAATCTTTCAGTCCACTAACTTAAACACCTTCTATTTCACTGTCTTGATTTCAAATAAAAGAACACCGCAGTCAAGATCCAATTATTATGCTTCAAGGATATATGAGTTTATTTGTTCACAAATTTTGAATAAATTGAAGATTTCTGAGTTCGATTTAACACCACTGAAGTTCAGAAAGTATCTAATATAATGTCTTATCCTAACCTAAGTTTATCACTTTTCATCAGTTTTAGTAGTAGTAATAGTAATAATAATAATCAATACAGTGATTAAGAATAAAATATCTACTCAGTCAGTCAATCAGTAACAACGTAGAACTTCGTACGTACGTACATCAGTTCGAGTTGCCACACCACATTAGCACAGAGATGCAGTGGTCGATTCAAATCCCGTAGTGGTAGATGTAGTAAAATTATAAGCTGTAATCAGAAAAAATTAGGGTTTGAAGATGTTATTCAAACAGTATAATCCAGTGAAATAAATTTGGAAAGAGAAAAATGAAAGGGACATGAAGAATATCTTTTCCAGTTAACGGTTTAAATCAAAATCCTTAATCTTTCTATACAAAAGACATTTGTAATACTGATATGTATTCTCAGGTTAAAAGAAATCTCCTAGGACGTTTTGATTGGCAAAGTTTATTTTTTTACATCATTCATCCGTGTCTTTACTTTAATAAATAATGCAATTTAGTTGCCATGTACATTGTCTGTACAAGTAAAGATCAACAATACTATGATAAAGGTATAGTATAGTAATACGCTTGAACGAGTCGCAATTTCAAAGCAAATTTTTCTACCAGTGAGTTAGTCAGTTGTATGAAAAGCAGAACCTGACAAATATTTTCATTCTTTCAAATTACCACACTATATTAGCACAGCTAAGATGTCAGAGTTGTATAAGTATTAAAAGTATTTATTAATGATGGTAGAAAAGATTAGTCTTAGAAGATACGAATCGAGAAAATATGGATTTGTGGAATTAAATTAGAAGTAATTTTAAAATAACTAAGAAACGTTAGATCCAGGGAAAGACAATAAGTAAATGTATCTATGTTATGTTGCAGACCTCAACTACGTAATCTGCACAACTCAGCACAATAGTCAATTACTTCTTAGGTCTTGAAATGGTGAAGATTTGTAGATCAGGTGGATTGTTTTGGTGAAGTTTTGTTTTCTGAGCTGAATGGTTTGGTCGTGGAGCTTTCATCGTTATTCTGAACGACATTATCAGCACAAACTTCATGTAAAAGTAAACGTCAGCATTGACCAATCAAGATCGAGGTCTACAGAGTAAGCTGTGAATTATATGTGGAGAATTCCAAACACTTCACTTCTACATGAAGTTTCCCAAATAAGTTTCTAAACTTAATGTCTTCTCAAACCAATTTATAATCCGTTTTTCAAACATAAATTAATGCAATTAAAACGAAAATAAGCAAAATATTTTAGTCAATTAAAAGAAAGAAACATTGAACACACCCCTACTAAACAGTAGTAAAAACACGACAACAATGAATCAATGAAATAACTATTCGTATTTCTAAAAAGATACAATTTCGAGAATGATAATTAAACAAGAAAAAAAACCAATCTAAGATTAGAGTAAGTTTTAGATAGTGCGCATTTATCATAGATACTATTAATCAACTCATTCTTATCGAACTGGATTAACACTCCCTCTCGAAACGTTCTTCAGTTCCTCCATCAGCAGTCATCTCTTTCGAAACATGTCCCAGATAATCGCATCGATTAATGTCTTCAGCAGAATAACCGTTTTACATTCATCAGGTCCGTAGTCTATGCATTTAATTATAGCATTCAGCTACCGAATCAGTACAACTATTCGGAGTTCTATTTACTTCTTCTGGCTTCGCATAAAGCGTCTCGTCAATAATCAATTGCTCTCTTAAAATGACCAATAAAAGTTCTCTTGATGATGTAGTTCTTGACTTCACAGTTGTTTTCAACAGCTTGTTATTATTCAAAAAGAAATTACTACATTTTGATGGTGAAACGAGTGGCAGTCGTAGGTAAGGTGCCACCAATCGTCAAAGGTTTGATGAATTAAACAATGGAACAGTAGTGTGGTGTGTGCTAGTGATATCGGCAGTTATAAGTAGTACATTTCAGTAATCTAAAGTGTAATACCTAGAAGATCGAAGAGAAGAGAACGAGGACAGAAAGTGATTGATGTGGAAACGAAGGAACAACAGAGTCTCAGATAGTTAATGAATATTTTGCAAATGAAGTAATTAATGTATGGTTTTCAGATTTTACTAAGAGATTCTGTAATTTTGTATCCAAATACATTCGATTGTCCCCACTTGTGTTCTCGTTCACTACAGTAACAGTAGAATACAATATCATCATTGATTCTTGTGAAGACTAGGAAATGGTATTCAACATTATATGTTTGTCAGTTACGACCTTTGTTAATTTCCCATTGGTCATCAATGGAATATCATTTGTTTAGTAGTTGGGATTTTACGTAAACCACTGGATTGGGCAATAATTGAATTGTCAACTATCGGTACTAGGATTCTCAAGAATTCTCTTGGTCTCATAGAACTGGAGGCAGTTTATATGTATATGATTCATATAGTGTATACCAAGATGCCACGTCAATGTACGCTCATAAAATATATAATTTATCATATTTCCCCACTCGCTTCTCCTTTAACTGATGCACAGTTAATACATTAAGTCCAATCAATAAATTTACACTTTGGTCTCTAACATTTAACCTCAGTACTGCTCACTCAGTAGTTCCAATATTAATATCAGTTGGTAAAGCATTGAGGGTAAAAAGTTTTTTCGTCTTATTGTCGTGAACGCGACTCGCAAGTATGTTTGTATGTAGTAGCGGAACATGGCGTCAAAGTTTCTACAGTGATCAGAAAGAGTAAAGAGTTTCAGTACATCGGAAACACACACCGCTTGAGGATCAGACAAGAAGACAGTTCAGATGACAGAACTCACCGACAGATACAAATAGTAGGCTTTTGGAGGCTCAGTCAGTCACAACGTAGAAATCCGTACGTACGTACATCAGTTTCAATTGCCACATCACATTAGTACAGAGATGCAGTTGTCGATTCAAATCCCATGGTGGTAGAGGCGGTAAGAGTATAAGCGGTAATCGGAAACATTAGGGTTTGAAGATGTTATTCAAGGAGTATTATCCAGAGAAATAAATTCGAAAAGAGGAAAAGAGGGACATGAAGAATTCAGAAGGTTACAATTTGGGAGAACACAAAGAGTAGATGCAGCTGCGCCATTGCAAACGATTTTGAGTCATGTCATTCAAGGTCTCTAACCATCGGTTTCTATCATCTCGCGGTCCCCAACCAGGTAATCTGCACCTACCAACATGGCTCAGTTCATATGTCAGTGACTTCATTGATTTGTGTGATGTTTTGGTCTGACCGCCCCTAGGTTTCTTCCAACCTACTCCTATACTATTGAGCATCGCTTGTCGTGGCAGTCGGTCGTTGGGCATACGTAACACATGTCCCAGCCATCACAACTGATGAAGTTTCACTACTCCATCAATTGATTTTCCATGCTTAACTAGTACCCGTTTCCTAACAACTGCATTATGTACTCAAGATGTACGAGCAATACGATAATAATACGATTGAAAGCTATGTATTATCTAATTACTTTGTAACTTCACGCAATAAATATACATTCTTCCCGCCTATTATCGTTGCTTTTTTTCACTAGTTTAGAATTCTTCAGTAGTATTTGTTCACAATTTCATTGTTTCACTACTCATATAAAATTCATAGATATATTCTATTTGTCAACTAAAACATTTTGTGATTTTAACTATTGACATGATTAACCAGTAATGTTTATTTGTAAACCTTAAATCTTCCATTAATTCCCTTGTGAATATAAAGTTGATGTTGTTGTTGTTATTTTCACTAGTTACTGAAATGTTTATGAAATAGTTGTGAATTCCATGTTTATCTTGCATATACACAAATCATCATTGTATCAAGTTTACCTGGATTTGTTGAGATTATGCACTATTACATTCTTATACATTGATTTATTCTATAGAATAACACTTCAGTGAAGTGAAGTGAAGTGAATAGATAAATCCATTGTAATAATATACTAATCACTTGAAAAAGGTTTATTGAATCTTCTTCTTCTTCTTCTTGTATCACTGATGACAAAACTAACTCTTTGTCTTACTTTCTCAATACAATCGATAGACACATTAATAAAGTCAGTTTTCTTACATTATTATTATTATTACTATTATTATTGATTAGTTGATTTACCCTCTATAATTGGTCATTTAAAAATAAGAGAATAAATGATCATAATCACCATAGTTTTACTAGTTACATACATTTTTTTTTCTTTTCATCTTCTGTACTTCATTCTTCTAGTCAGATGGCATTCATTTGATTTGTGTCATATAAGATGTTACTTATAACAGTATTAAAAGGGGGGGGGTTGGTAAAAATGATTCATGTTTAATAAGAAAAGTATTTAGGAATATATAGTTGATAAATTGTTAAACAATGAATAATTGATTACAAATTATTTCATAATGTATCCTGTTTCTATTTATTTTAATTGGAAATCTAAGATATCAGTTTATTTGGTAACTTAGGAATATGCACTTTTATCTCAATGGATGCGGGGGGTGAGTGGGTTCGAGCGCAATACCTTTAACTTTTATGATATATATTTTGCCATTAAACCTATTAACTCGGCATTTCAAAAAGTCACATTTATGACTTTAATATCATTTTTAAGATGTTCTATAGTATTTTGAAACAGACCTACATCATTGTTTTTCAATGATTGTGTTGATAGAACTGATCCATGATATGGAGATCACAATGTGGATAATGTCTGTGAACATATTGTGTTTATATTAATTGTCGATTAAACGAAATTTTAAGTAAAGTTATTGAATGTATTGAAGTTGTGATACATTCTGTATTTATTATTTATTTATTTATTATTATTATTATTAAAACACATAAACATTGGTACAAGGAGGCTTCAAATAGATATGAGCCACATAAATCATTCGATTTGTGTGAGGGATGGAATACTGCCCACATGTCCAAACGTAAGCAGGTGATTTTCTTAGAGGGAAAAACCCGGAGCCTTTAACCTAAAGGTCTGACCCACAAGGCAGTGCAGCAACGGCAGGAGATGTAGTCATATGGTAGCCGGTGACCAACACTAAGTTCATACGCCATTTGTTCCTTTAGTATCCTGGAGCCCTTGTGCACCATTGGCTTGAAATCAGGGTTTTCCAACTCCCCTAGTTGGACCCTTCGTTTTCACAAACCCGGTTAAAGCGCAGGACATCCGCGTTCCGTCCTCGATTTCGCAAACAATAATGCTGAGAGAAGTCAATGAGTAGAACTTCCCTTTCAGTGGTTATATGCACGTGGTCATGTGAGAGCATTTCGAAAGGGAGAGCTGTCTCTCCCCACTCTCGGCTGTACCAGGGCATTTGGGGGCAAAAAATATGAAACGCTTCACGATTCTGCATGTCATCCTTGCTCAGGGGACATACTAATCTTCTCAATATGATTCAAAATTTAGTATATGTACCGCCGAAGTGAGTACATTTTGAATGTAATCCTATATAACTTCACCAAGACTCATATCCGTTTCACTCATTATTTTTAAAAATGATGATGTGATCTACTACTTTGGGAGGAAGGTTGTTGTATTCACTAAAATTTTAGTTGCATTTTAATAACATGTACCGACAATAAGATTGAGGTGTTCTGTCGATAACCATCGAATATGAAATAAAATTCACTGTGTTGTTAATGTGCTCGCTTAGTGGAACACCATATAACTATCATATGGTTCAGTAGAGAACTGATTCCCAATACCGATTGTGCAATATTACAGATATCTTTTTAACATACATTCAGATTGTAATAATTTTTGAACATATTTTAAGTATTTTTTTATAGTTAATATCTTTCAACAGTATCCAAAAGTTAGTCTTTTTTTTACCAGTTCAGCTTCTACAACTACATATTTCACCCACCATATGTAGGGTACATGAGTTCTAACATATTTGTCTATCGTTTTAGCAAAGGATAGTTAGGAGAGAAAAATACGCCAATAATTGCAGTGTTTCTGTTTGACTTTTCTGATATTTATTGTTGTAATTATTTGTAATCAATCTATAATAGAGTGTGTTTATATGCAATTAGTAATCACAATCATACGACTGATGTAAACATAAAGTAATTAGCTTAATTGTAGTATTTGTACAGTTGGAAAAAAGGTATGTCAAACGTTTAGTTAACCGACCCAAGGTATATATAATGATGAACTCGATATCTTTATATATAAATATATATATATATATATATATATATATATATATATATATCCATTTACTCTTTAGACTTTAAATTTTGACTTAACCTTCCATAAATAACTTCGACTCTCTTTTTGAATTCTAAATTCTTATGTTTTTTTAGTAACAGATACGATTTTCCCGAAATACTAGTTATGTCATTTAAATTTCTTGTGATAATTTTTGCTACTTAAATTCATTATAGTAGTGTGAATATCTTATTCGCATTTTAAAAATTGTCAAATATCTTACAGCTTCGTTATCCAGATCAAGTATTGGGATTATTCCTTATCAATCCAAATGCATCAACTCATGGTTATTATCAATGGTTCCGTAATGTTTGGTCTGATTTACCTGCACTTGAACGCGGTGTACTAACTGATAATTTAATGAGTCAATTAGAAGCTCATTGGTTCGGATTTGTAAGATTTTATTTATAATAATTTTTTTCTTTATACTTATCATGATTAATTAACTAATTACGTTCACGCTTTTACCGTTGTTTTCTTTGTAATCACAAAGAAGATTTGTAGTTTGGATGGTTTATTCCAGTAATATTGTGTTCTGTGAGCTCTATAGTGTAAATGCAAAACTTTCATTATTGTTCTGGATTATATCGACAGCGCCTAACTTTTATTGGAATTAGGCGTTGATGATATTAACCTGGATGATAATTAAAGTATTACAATCTGATCGTATTGTTCACTAGACACAATACCATCAAACGTTATTCTCTCCAACTAGTCGAGTTGTTTTTCGTGTATTCCTTAATTTATTCTCATCTTTGCTTTCATCAATGTGTACTTTTATTGAAAAACTTTAATTCTAAATATGTGCATTGGTTAGAACTGTCTAATACAATAATTTTTTTGTAACAAAACTGATAACTTGAATAGACTATATGATAAATCGAAAAATAACTGTATCCGCGTTTAGGTTGATCATGCATTATCCGGTGAAACCGATCAAGATTTCAGGAAATGGTTTCTGCTCTGTAAGGTTCACAAACCTACTTCGTGAATATGATCGCTTAGGGGGATCGACACTGCCGGGTCTTGGCGCGCTAGCGTCTCACCAACGGGCAAGTATGCGGTACATGCATACCGGTAACACATAAGCTTTCGCCTATGCATCCCTTTGCATATCCATAGGTATGCTCACCCTGAGAGCAAACATATGTCACACGGGTAACACAAAATTTTTCACTCATGAATCCCATAGCATACATATAGGTATATTCACACACTTTTGAGAGTAAATGATCATTGCTCCCTCCGAACGTATTTGCTGCTGACTGTTTCTTACGTATTACATGGATGCCTTTGATACAAAAACTTCCGCCCTTGTACTCCATGACATACACATAGGCATAAGCACTCTTTCAGGAGGGATTGATGATCGTCTCTATCGCTTCTTCTCATCTTGTGTTCGACATAGGGCAGACATTTTCCAGATTACGTTCCTTGTGCTAACCTACACGCATACCCTTTGCATATGTCTACATACATAGACTACACAATCTGAGACTCAATGGAATTCATATACATAGGTATATACATCGGAAAACCAGCAATATTTTAGTAAGCCATGAATTGGGAACGCAAATAATTCAGTTTACATCAGAGTATTAGGTTAGTCCGATCTCCGCCGACCACCCAAATTAACTATCAAGGCTTTTTTCACTACCCAAAAGCGCCATGTGAAGGTTTTAAATCGAGTTATTTACTAGTTTTAACTTCAATATGTCATATACAATAAATAATGAAAGGTCGGTAATACTACAGAGAAATAACAACCATTTGTATGCAAACCAAATGGTGAAAGGAAAGTCACTCATTATCTACGAAAGAAATTGCTTCAATTGCAAAAAAACATTATATCAAACAAATGGGTTTTCGTCGTCATCTTTATTTGAACAAGCACCAATTAGCTGTCAAACACTATGATATATTCTCGCTTCTATTAGTTCATGCAGACAAGTGTTGACAAACGTTGAGTTAAGGAAATATTAAGACTTCGAATAAAGAGAGAGAAAGCTTAACACTCCGGTGAATCAACAATTAGTAGATATATCGAAATCAACTCAATTTACCAACTAATTAGAAAACACATGAACAATATTTGATCAAGAATCAAGTGAATGGAGAAGGTGATCAAACTAAATATCCTCAGAATAACAAAATAAATATCAACAATAACCAAGTTAGATCAAGGTCAAATCGAACAAGTTCTTATTCATATTTGAATAAATTCTGATAGCTCACTTTTATATGAAGTTTATGCTGATGTTGTCAGTCAATCAGCTACAACGTAGGACCAGGCACATATATGCATCGGTCCAAGTTGTCATACCTTATTAACACAACAAGATGAACACCGGATTCATAAAAGTAGTCACTTCAATGGTGGTAATATATAAAAGAAAGATGTTATTGTTGTTGTTGTTGTCCATAATGAAAATGTAAAAAAACTTCATCGAAAAGAAAAATAATAAATAAATGAACTTTTCAAAGGAAAATTTAATATAGGCAAAAGTCAGTGGAAATATCAAAATATAAGAACATATACTTCATTTGTTTTGGATGAATGTATAACATTGTTTATAAGTTAACGTGTTAATTACTTTTAAATGTGTAAATTCAAATGAAATGGGTTTTGTTTCGAATAGATGTACCTTACCTACTCACTTACACCTGTTACCCCTCATAGAGGAGCATAGGCCGCTCACTAGCATTCTCCATCTAACCATGTCCTGGGCATTTCTTTCAAATTGCTATTCATCCTTTTCATGTCTGCTTCTGATCCCCGATGTCGTGTGTTCTTCGGTATTCCTCTTTTCCGCCTCCCTTCAGGATTCCAAGTTAGGGCTTGTCTCATGATGCGGGTCAATGATTTCCGTAATGTATGTCCTATCCACTTCCAACGTCTTTTCCTAATATCCTCTTCAGTTGGAAGTTGAACTGTCCTCTCCCACAGTAGGTTGTTGCTGACGGTATATGGCCAATGGCTGTTGAGTATCTTATGTAGACAAATATTTATAAATACTTGTACCTTCTGTTATACCTCGATAAGAATAATGAGTGGTAATTTTTGGGATTCATTTGTGGACCAATACTATATGTATATTTTTGCCGTATAATTGTTAATTAACTAAACTATTCTTATCGATTAAATGTTGAATATTTCTATGGCAGTCGATTGACTAACTCATCGATTAAATGTTTAAAAATACTTCAATGGCAATATCGATTATATACATATAACGGATATATCTACATTTTGGATTGCGTTTGTTGTGATTGCTCGTTCTGGCTGTTTTGAAGAATATACTTCCCATTCCAAGCTTGGTCTTCTCCATCTAGTTAGCGGGGCTGGGACGCATCAATAGCTAGCTTGCTGGTCTTTGGTCACCGAGTCTTGTTCTCGTTCGTAGATTAAGTGAACTCGTGATAGCTTCAAACCTAGCGCCTTCTTGATGATGGTTGTAGTAGTTCTCCACTTTTCAGTTCCGTGGTATAGGAGTAGGTTGGAAGAAAGCTGGGGGCGGCCAAACCAAAACATGGCACAAATCCATGAAGTCACTGACAAGTGGACTGGGTCATGTTGGTAGGTGTAGACTACCTGGTTGGGGACCGCGAGATGATAGCAACCGATGGTTAGCGACCCTGAATGACATGGCTCAAAATCGTTTGCGATGGCGCAGGTGCATCCACTCTCTATGTTCTCCCAAATTCTAATCTTCTGAATTCTTCATGTCCCTTTTTTTCCTCTTTCCAAATTTATTTCACTGGATTATACGCGTTAAATAACATCTCCAAACCCTAATCTTCCCGATTACTGCTTATACTCTTGCTACCTCTACCACTACGGGATTTGAATCGACCACTGCATCTCTGTGCTAATGTGGTATGGCAACTCGAACTGATGTACGTACGTACGAAGTTCTACATTGTTACTGACTGACTTTCAGCTCCGTACAATAAAACTGTCTTGACGTTCGTATTGAAGATTCTGGCTTTGATATTGGTTGAGTTGCTGTGCGAATGCTGTTGTTGCTTTGCCAATCCTCGCCTTTACATCTCCATCAAATCCTCTGCGTTCATTCACGTGGGATTTTCCACCTGTTCCAGACTTTCTCCATCACGTATGATTGTGTTGGTGTTCTCTGTGTTGAATTTGAGCATCTTTGTTTTTCCCATATGTGTATTGACGCCTACTGATGAAGAGAGGCTGCTGTTACACTGTTTGTCTTAACCTGTATTTGTTGATGTGTATGTGACAGATTAGCTAGATCATCTGCAAAGTCGAAATCGTTTAGTTTCATCCAAGCTGTTGATTGTATTCCGTGCTTCCCGCCAGATGTCGAGGTCTTCATAATTCAGTCAACCATCAGAAGAAAGAGGAAGGGGGAGAGTAAGCAGACGAATCAAAATCATCTACCTGAGCTACAAATCTTCTCTATCATTATTTTCATAGCTTAAGGCATCTATTAACTCAAAATTAACTATTTTCTTTTTGAAACCTCAACGATTGTATTTGTTTTTTCGTGTTCCTGGAGTTACAATAATTTTAAGTCATGTACTTTAAGACTGTGTATTTATTTCATTGTAATTTGTATATTAGCTTGACAAATCATTAAGTTACATAGTGTCTAAGATGACATTTGGATAGTTAGGATATATCATAAGAAGCTTAGTAAACATACTTCTACAGTGTCAGTAAGCTTATTCTATCGATAGTTAGAGTAAGTAAACTATTATAAGTGAAGAAATTCGTTCTGAAACTTCTTTGAATATATCGAAATGATTCAACAAGAAAACCAGATGGGCGGGAAATGATATTAACCTGAACCTAATAATCTGTTGTATTTTATTTAGAACAAAATGACTCTCAAATTTGATTACTGTAAAATAGCTTTACATGTTATTCATTTCATAATTCAGGGTTTAGTTGAAAATGCTGATGTAGCTAATTTTTATGAATCATTAACACGAAGTTTAAATCCAGCTAATTTAGCTGGTTATATACGTTCTTATGTGGATCGTACACCATTACCATTGGTTCGACCAATACTTGGTCCTCCAATGCCTGATGCTCAAACAAATCCAAATGAAGAACCAACAGTTATACTTACTGAAGTATGTTTAGTAACTGGTGATCGCGCTGTGGAATTGTCACGTGCCTTAGCTGATATGAATGGACGTATGGATCCGAAACGTACACAATTTCTTATGGTAATTGAATTCATTTATTTTAATTCCATATATTATTTGCTTTCATCAGTCTTATTGGAAAAAATATATTGTAATCAATTCAATTTACTGGGAACTAGGAGGCTTTTTCTTGATCTTATTTAGCTAGACAATGCACCTAAGGTTGAGTAAATCTAAAGATTGTCTTATCTCCGATTATTTAAATGCAAGAATAGTAAATGGCTCTACAGTAAGTAATAATTACTATAGATTTTAAACTACAGTGTTAACATCTGACGTTGAATGACTGGATCAGTTATCTAGAAGTTAAGCGTTGGTGAACGAGACCAAGGGTCCCGGGTTCAATTCCTTCATGGTGAATAGTTAATACCCATCGCATAGGAGTCCCGTGATGGGAAGAAATGACCATCCAGTGCTTTCAGATTCGAAATGGTAGTCTAGCTAAGATCAGTTTCTGGTTTCAACAGTGAAAAAGTAAAATATGTATCAACCAATAAGTTTGTGTACAATCAATAGTTTTAACCAAATATGGAGGATTATTTCTAGTTACTTATAAGTAGTATAGTTATAGCACACAAATTCATACTGAATATAGTTAGAAATATGCTTCGATTGACTGGATAGTATATTTATCATTTTAACAGTGAGAGGTAATTAGTGTTGAGTGTTTTAAAACTGTTCAAGAGCTCCAATTGATTTCTAAGGTTTATTGGTGAGTTTTAGAGAATCAAATACTCTCGTTCACTGACTCAAAACTATTTTACCTCTCATTATAGCAATCAGAAAATCAATCATTGATCCTTATATTATTAACTTATATGTGACCGCTTTAGGGCTCCTCTAATTACTTATAAATTAAGTCATTCAAGACATCTGGATCGACACACTATTATTAGTAAGGAAGAGGGAGCTTACGATTGATCACTTCACTTTAGATATTTCAAATCCTGAACCACAGGGAAGGAAAATGGAAGCATTGGACAAATTTCCCATCCCAATTTAGGATTTTTCGGAGTGACGCATCGAAAACCCACCGTTTTTTGAGCTCAGAACGTTCAGGTTCCATTTCTTAATAATTCATAATTATGAAGGATTATCATTGAAAGTATTTCATCGTGTAGACAATGATCACTCACATTTGATAGAACCACTGATTGGATTATATTAATTTTATGTGTAAAATACTACTGAAGGAAATTTTAATGAGTATGCCATATTGCACTGAACATATAATATTGAATAAAGTGATCATTGTTATTATTAATACTGCAGAATAAGTTATTTAATCAAATTCAGATATACTACTGAAATTGTATGCTAGTAGTTATTGATTACCTTCCACCTAAATGTTTTTCTATATCATGATGTATATGTAAAGTGTAAACGAATCATTTTATAGTGAGTAAAACAAGTGCGGAGATAACGATGATTGATTGCGGAAATTCCTTAAAGATTCACTTTTAAATTCTTTTTTTTTCGATGTTTCAATTGTCTAACACAATATCTTGTTGAAGAGGAAAAAACAATATTTTTTAAAAAAGGGAGTTTCAATTTTTCAGGTTCATCTTTAAATTGGAATAAAAATTATTTTACTATGTTCACTTAGTTCTTTGTTATAATTGAACAGTTGAGCATAATTGAATTCCAAGAAAAGTATACTTGTTGGAATGTTAGAAAGTACTAATTTTATTCAGTATTTGTTGAAGCTCTACCGTGGTGTGGGTTACTTATATCCACATAAGTAGTATATAACAGAGGTCAGGCGTAGAATGTATTTCAGTAGAACATCGATAAGGAAAGAACGGGAACGGAACACAAATGGTATGAGAATGCATGAACAATAAAATCTGTGACAATGGGTTGATGTTTGCAATAGGAACAGTCAAGTTTGAGACGATAGATTGATTTACTTTATAGTTCTCAGATTTTATTGAGATGCTCTATAATTTCGTGTCAAATATATTCGATTGTCCTCACTCGTGTTCTTGTTCACTACACTACAACATGTAAACATTCACTTCATCTATCTGTTATTGTATAAATATGAAGAACTGTAGTTTAATGATAATCAAAATTTATGGTTTTGATTCAACAGGTTGCATTTTCTAAATATGATCCATTTATTTCGGTTCACATACAACCGGGGTAATATTTCTAATGCTTACATGAATTATATGGCTTAAATTCTAATACACAATGAGTGTACTTCATTAATAAATTACATAGATTAATAGCATATAACTGGTCAGAATTAAATGCGTGAATACACTTATTCTTTTTGCCTAGTAGACTGCTCTTTTAAAAATAAAAAGGCATTTGTACTTTCAGTCAATCAGCCACAACGTAGGACCAAGCACATATACACATCGGTCCTAATTGCCATATCTCATTAGCACAGCAAAATGAACACCGAATTCATAGAACCAGTTAATTCAATGGTGGTAATTTATAAAAGATTGCAGATCAGGACATTGTACTGGAAGAAAGAATTATTTTGTACAAAGAAAGATGTAAAGAGATTTTAATCTCTTAGTTTAAAGGAAGACAGAGAGTTTTTACGCCTACGCCATTGTGATCGATTCTGATTCATGTCAGCAAGAGTCTCCAACCATTGATTATAATAGTCACGCGGATCATAACCAAGTAGAATACTGATATTTCATTACAGATGCCTTCGGAAACACTGTCAGAGTTTGTTAAAACCATTGAGTGAGCAATATTGAAATTATAGATAGGGTATAAAGCAAAGATGGTATATTGATTGCTGACAATGTGATTTTCAATTGATTGAGGAAGAAGGTTAAGGATGATCAAACCAAAATTTAGTATCATTCTTTGGAGTCATTAACTGTTGTTTTGAACCATGTTTGGTTGAATGCCTGGGCGGTTATCTTGAACGGTTGTAGAAGACGTTGGATGACATGAATCAGAAGCGGTAGCATTGGGTCAGATGTATACATTTATTGTCCTTCTCTAAATTCTAAATTTCAAAGTTATTTTATACTTTCTTATTCTACAAATAATTGTCACTGATGATACTACTACTACTCTGACATTTATCATGATAGTTCCATTTCCTTATGTTTTATGTAATGGAAGAGAACACGAGTGGGGGACTACCAATTTATCATTTCATACAAATGACAAAATATCTTCGTAAAATATGAGAACTATACACCAAAATCTTCATTTGCAAATCTTTCATCAATTGCTCTTTACATTCTGTCTGATTCTTCCAATTCATAATTCCTTCCTGTTGCCAGCCATTGAGCTTTTGATTTGTGTCACATACTACTTATATCTGTCAACATAAGTAACATACACCAGTTATAATATAATAAATTGAATTGATGCAGATATGTATACCACACTCAATATCACTTGTAAATGATTGACTGAAATTTGAATAGTTCCAGTGTTTCGTCCAGCAAACCTGTCTAGACTTCTTCAGGGTAATTCTCTACTCGGTGCCCAAATTTTATAAAACTATTCGTTCTAATATTGACGAATATTCGTATAAATAATATTGTCGTTGTTTTCGTTTATGTTTCCTTCATTTAGATGCCTGATTGTACTGGTATGGTGATGGAAGAGAATCCTAGCAAGTTGATCATGAACTTTTTACACTTCTTGCGTAGTATTGGACTTGGTAAGTTTATCATTGTTTGTTTTCCCTGTCTGTATTACAGTATAGTAAGAATAATGATAATAGTACTCATAAGATCATGTGACATAGTTGTTCGTATTGGATTGATACATTTTTTCGATTGTGTAATACTTTTCTCAATCAAATCTCGCTTTCCATAGTTTATTTCACTGGTATTATCTCCATATGACAAGTTGTTGTTTTAAATGCCAACTCAGTAGTAGTGATCTACAGGCGTAATATTCTCGTCGTAAAACCTGAAAGTTCTCGGTTACATTTTTTACTTTGTTTATTTACATAAGATCTGGTACAGCTGGGTATCAAGGATTAGTAAACGCTATACACAATATTTCTATATGCACTGCCATACTACCTTGGCACGCAAACGGAAGTAGATGGTTTTCTTCAGAAGCCACTCTTCTAGCCTTTGATCTATAGCTCTAATCCACAAGAAAGGGGACGATTGTTTGAATATAATTGTCTCATAGTAGTCGATGAGTAAAGAAAGACTCAAACATTGATTGTTCTTTCAAACCTGGATAGCCCATGTTCATTGTTGGTTTGTAATCTGAGCTTCCGGACTTCTTCCTGCAGTCAACCCTCCATATCTAATGACTCATTTTAATTCCTAGAAGTTTACTTTTTTTAATTTCGCTTTCGTAAACAAAAACCCTACTGTGAGAACGAAATGACTATAATTTCTCTGTCAGAGACTATAAATGTAAGATTGATTTGGATTTCAAATGAGAAACTGAACTCTCTCCTACCGTCAACCGCAGCCCATTTTTCAGTTTGATCATTGGAAGAGTCATAAGGGACTGTATCTTCTGACGTTGTTCCACCGCCTTGTGGATTAAACTTTTAGATCTAAGACTCTGTGAGTGCCCCCTCTATTATATATATAATTGATACCTCCTTGTACCAAGGTTTATGTATTTAAATTGTTATGTTCGTTAAGCTTAAATGCTACTACTGATTCGTCTTACTCGAAACGGAACGAAGAATCAAGCAACCAGAGGCTCGATAGGCTATACTGGTCCGTTGTCCCCGATTCAGCAAACTCGATCCAGAAGTCTTAGTAAGATGTAGAAAGTGTATTCTATAGACAACCAGAACAAACCAGGTCCATCAAGTACACAAATCAAGCGTATTTATACCAAAAAAATATAATCGATATTGCTATGGAAGTTTTTAAACATTTAATCGATAAGCTCATCAATCGACTATGTGCGTGGGTAGTAAGAAAAATGCTCAAATATACAATTGTATACAAGCTCCACAAAGATAAAATTAGGGATCTAACATCCTCAACATAAATAAATAAACATAAGTGAACATTATCAAAGTATCATCTTAGTTTTCACTTGTTGTCAAGCTAAAAATCAATTCTTAATGATATGTAGGCTATTTTTTTTCCTTTATTTAAGTTTCTAAGTTTATGTCATGTTTCTTTTCTACCGAATCTCAACTCTTCTTTCCTTTTATCTTAATAATAATAATAATAATAATAATAATAATATACAATGTTATAATCCATGTTGTTAAGTCAAGTAACTATCTGACTTCCTTTTTCTGATTTTATCATGTTGTAATATATTTCAAAAAAAAGGAAGAAAAGCGAACTCGTTTTTTGTTGTTGTTGTTGTTTTGTTTTCATCTTTGAAGCCAATTCTCCATCTTCCTTCTTTAGAAATAAAGAACAAACCAACAAGATTGTTTTTGTCCTTCTCTTTGCTTTTGATTCCATTCTACTAAGAAAATTAAATTTAAACAGAATGAATCCTTTGAATGATGAAAATTTTTGATCAAAAAAAATGTTCACTGGGATCAGAGTACTTTAGTATTACTATTATTATTAGTATTATTATTATTACCATTATTATTACTATTATCACTATTATTCTTGTTACTATTACTATTATTATTATTACTATTACTATTATTACTATCATTATTACCATTATTATTACTATTATCACTATTATTCCTATTCCTATTACTATTATTATTATTACCATTATTATTACTATCGCCATTGTTATTACTATTATTATTACTATTATTATTATCATTACTATTACTATTATTATCATTACTATTATTACTATTATCATTATTACTATTACCATTATTACTATCGCTATTATTATTACTATTATGAAATGAATGTAAAATCTAGTTATATCAAACTGGTTATAATTATGTTTAAATGTAGCTTGTTTTTGAAGAGAGGTTATTTATGGTTATAAAGTTGATTATCTTGTTTCATCTATCGAGATTGAAATTTCTTTATATGTTTCGTTCTATGAATTCATTATTTCTTTCTGTACTGACTTACTTACACCTGTTACTCCTCGTGGAACAGCATAGGAAACTCACCAATACTCTCTCCATTCAATCTTGTCCTGGGCAATCGTTTCCAGTTGTTATTCATCCTTTTTATATCTGCTTCTATTTCCCGAATTAATGTGTTCTTTAGCCTTCCTCTTTTCCATTTTACTTCACAATTTCCAGTTAGGGCTTGTCTCATGATGCAGTTTGATGATTTCTGTAATGTATGTCCTATCCATTTCCATCGCCTTTTCCTCTTGAACTGGGAGCTGGTTTGCTCTCCCCTCCGTAGAAAACAAACTCGATTATTTATTTGAACACATGAATAATGGTACAAGGTGGCACCTGATACATATGCGTCACACAAGTTACTTGATTTTTGTGTGGGCTGTGATACTGCCCGGGTACCCAGACAGGAGCAGGTGTTTTCCTTAGGGGGCCACGTCCGGAGTCTTCGACCTAAATGTTTGATCCACAAGGCAGTGGGGCAACGTTAGCAGATGCAGTCCTATAGTAGCCAGTGACCAACAATAGGTTCATACACAATTTGTTCTTTCAGGATCCTGGAGTCCATGTGCGCTATTGGTTTGTAATCGGGGTATCCCAACTCCTTCATGTTTACTCTTCATATCCATTAACCAGGTTAAAGCTCCGAACATTCACTTTTCATCCTCTGAATTTCGTAAACAATAGTAATGCTGTGAGAACGCAGTGAATAGGACTTCGCTGACAGTGGTTGTATACGCGTGGCCATGTGAAAGCATTTCGAGAGGGAGAGCGGACTCTACTCACTCTCGACCGTATCACGGCATTGGGGGGGGGCTATTTAATAATCACAGATCAGTTTTACTCAATTTAAAGAAACTGTAGTAGATAGACATGTTAAGTTAACAACTACTAAATAGTTTAAACACTCATTTATGAAATTGATTAATTGATTATCGATTAAAATGGTTATCAAGTTGTTACTAGTTACAATGAATTGATCGCAATGTTTCACCACAAACGTCTGATGATAATTTTTTAGTGAGACTATAATTTATGAACGACCTTTTAGTGATACTGAATTGACCTTGAGAGTGGACGCCTACTAAATAGGACTAAATGAGAGTTATAAAGCAGTTAGAATTCTCATTTACAGTTGATAGATAGAGTTAAAAATTAGATTTAGGGTTTTCATCATGAACTAATATCAGCTATAATGTCAAAACTCTATTTAGCCAAATGTATGGATGAATTCTGTGCCCAAATTCGTGACTTTTTATCTTGTATGTGATTGATTCGTTCATAAGTTATAGTCTCACTAATTCTTTCCATTCAGGAAATCGTATTCTTTTGTCATATAAACTTTAAATGAGAACGATACTTTTTTTCTATTATATTATTACTGAATGTGATTTATGTTGAACCTTTTGTTCTATTATTGTTCTCATTTCAAATAGTTGTCAATCTTACGCCAGAGAAAATGCGTCAACTAGCAACAGATTTACAACAATCTATGCTTGAAGAATTACCTGAAACATGTTTACCAGCTAAATTGGTTGTGGAACCGGAAGTTTGAAAAATTGATGATGACGACGACGATACCAGAGAGAGAAAGAGCAGTATACTGATTGACAATGTATGTGATCATAATATTATAATATTCACTGTGTTTGTTTTTTTATTATTCACTTGTCATTATTACACATTATATTTCGTCTTGTAAACCATTAATTTTGAATTCACTAAAGAATCATTTTTAATGCAATAATAATAATAGTAATAATAGTAATACTTACATTCATGCCGTAAAAGCGCATTTCACTAACTTAACAAACTGATTAGTTAGCTGGTTTCTAACCTTGACTTTAATTAAAATTATATATAATCTATCACTTTTTATATTTTCTTTCATTTTTGGTTTAATTGACTTGTATCATTGGTATCAATATACGCACAGGTTATCATTACTGGTATCGTTTATTCACTGTAGTATTTTGTTACCCTTTTCATGACATGAACGGATAATACAAAAAGAAGTGTCGAATTTAACTAAGTATTCATTCACTCATTATCATCATTATCGTCATGATGATGATGTTTATGTGATGATTGTTTTGTTATCAATTTCGTTTTTTTGATTATCAACTTTTCTTTATGTTCGTTTTCTTATTTCATATTATCACTTTATGAATTTATATTAATTTCTTCATTGTCAATAGCATTTTACTTTTATATTTCAATATTCAATTATTTCTTTATTCATTCGTTAAACTACTCTTATGATTATTATCATTCAATTATAATACTGCATATGAAATTTCAAATGGTTTTAAGGATTTACTCTGATGGATTTCTTTCATTAATCTCCTCTCTCTCTCTTCCTTACACACACACACACACACACGTATATATACATACTAATTTCATTCCTGGTTAGAGTTATTCAGTGTATTCATTTAGTAGATGAATATAATACCTACTTAATTAAGTAGTATTCTAATTATTTGGTTGTATGTTAGTATAGACTGTGATGATATTCTTGATACTTTGTGTTTTTTTCTTTTTTTTCTTCATAATTTCGGTTTGTTTTGAAGTTACTGTTGTTGTTGTTGCTGTTGTTGTTTTTCTTCTTCTAAAGACAATATTCACATTGTATTGAGTAATTACTGTTAGTGTAATAGTAGTAGTCTGTTTGATGTGAGTTTTGTTTTGTTTTTCTTTCTTTTGGAAAACATTATTCTTCTTTTTTTTCAAGCAATAATTTTAATACAATTAATCATTTCATAAATTGATGAATAATTTTTGTGTGTTTCTATTGTCTTTGATGTAATGAGAACTGTAAGTCGAATAAGAACTACACTAGTCTAAGTTAGAGTTTATGATGAATTGTCATTTGATTTTACAACTTTAAGTGATATTCAACAAGGTTGTTCACTATCTTCATTTCTGTTCAATTTCATCATAGACCATCTACTGATAGAAATAACATTCTCGTCGTCTGTATTCTCGGGTATTGATCTCCTTCCAAAAGGTTCACTTATAGACTTAGAATACGCAATTGACAAAGTTCTGTTTGATGAAGACGCCGATAAAATGTGGTTTTTTGATAGCACTAGGCAACAGTGTCAGGATGTTCGCGATGCGTTCCATTCCCCTCTAAATGCAAGCTGTTGCTTCAGAACTGGCCTACGTCAACACTTGAACTAAAGATAGGGAGTGCAGTAGTTGAGCGCTTTGACAACTCCACTTATTTTGGAACTGTGATCAGCCCTAATGGGTCGATGTCTGACAGAGTTTCAGAACGGATTCAAAAAGCTCGTTTGGCTTCCACTAACTTACGTCGCCTATGATGAACGGGAGATATATATCTATCAGTTAAAGAACGATTATACTGTGCGACCGTCTGTTTTGTTTTACTTCACGGCCGCGAAATGTGGTCCTCAAGAGTAGAGGATACTCGTAAGTTGCTAGTATTCGATCACAGATTCCTTAGAAGTATTGCTCGCATCTGCCGGGATCACCAGGTAAGTATTAGTGAGGTTAGACACACAGTCTTAGGGAATGATGGTAAATTAGTTGATGAGGTTGTGAATCTTCATCGACTGAGATGGTTAGGCCACGTGTTGTGTATGCCTGAACACTGATTACAACGACGTGCAATGACTAGTGTGATGTGTGCTACTTATATAGACATAATTAGTATATGACGTTAGTCAGGAACAGAATGTTTGGCAGCAAAGAAACAAGAGGATCGAGCAGTAAAGGATAGAAACAGAATGCAATTTGTATGAAAATGCAAGAACAATGAAGTCCGAGTCATTTTAAGACAGTTGATGGACATTTTGCAAATTAAGCATCTACTGTATAATTGTTAAACTTTACCAACATGTTCAGTAATTTTCTGTCAAATAAATTCGATTGTCCCCACTCGTGTTTTCGTTCACCACAGTAGTGTTGAGGATAATTGTAAGAAAGCTAGGGCCGGTCAAACCAAAACGTGGCATCAGTCCTTGAAGTTACTAACTTCTGATCTGAGCCATGTTGGTAGATGCATGCTTCTTGGTTTTGGTCGGCGTGACTATCATAATCAATGGTTGGAGACTTGGTGACATGGCTCAGAATCGATCACAGTGGGGTAGGTGTATACACTCTCTGTCTTCTCTTAAACTGAGATTAAAATCGCTTCATATCTTTCTTTCTACGTACTAATTTTTTCTTCCTGTACTATATTCTTATGCACAATCTTTCTTTAATATGTTACCACCATTGAAGTGACTAGTTCTATGAATTTGATGTTCATCTTGTTGTGCTAATGCGGTATGGCAACTTGGACCGATGTGTATATGTGCTTGATCCTACGTTGTAGCTGACATTAGTCTGCATTCGAAAAATGTTTTTCTTGCTGAAGAAAGTTGATGTTTCATCTGATCTATCGTTAAACGGTAGAACCTCACTCCGAACATACTGTTTTTTTTATGTTGATACTTAATCGGCTGAATACCATTTACATGAGTGTTGTGACTTGAAATCGCTTATTAATATCATGTGTTAAGATGGTGTCTAGTCAGAATGCTTATTATAAATTTTCCTATTTAACACCAACCATTTCTTCTCTAGTATATTGTCCTTGACTTGGCTATTTATACGTTTAATTTTCACTGTTAACTTTGAGCTGATGCAATTTAAATTCATATGTGCCCTTTATTCCCAACCCTTCTGTATCCCTTGCCTAGAGTCTAAAGAAAAGTCAGCGGCTAGGTTCCATTGTGTTATAGTTCAAAATTATGTAGGTTTATATACAAACATAATGTTCTACATCATATCATGAAATGAAAAGTTTCAGTTGTACATAAACGAGCCAAAAGTGCCTATGAATAAGACAAGCTGAGGAAAATCGATTGGCAATAAAATAGGAATAATCATTAGTATAGTAATAGTTGATCGGTTAAAAGATAAGTTACGATAAACGGAGTATATAAAAACACAGTAATTCAGTCAGTTATTAATTGTACTATAAGAATGAATATAATAATCCATAGAGTACTTCTGGAAATCACTGTTTTTTCAATCTTTGTTATGATATATCAAGATGTTAAGAGTGTATTTAGGTAAATAAAATGGTTCCAGATTACTACATTTAAATAGGATTTATAAGGTTGATAATGGTCATTCAGTTGAGTAATTGGTTATTTTAATAGTTTAGATCATCAATCAATTGAAGACAGATCACCATAGAAAACCTGGGAGCACTGGACGGGTTCGTAGATGCGCACTGCCGAAGAGTCCCACAATAGTACCAGGCGGCCGTCCAGGTTTTCTGTGGTGATCTAGCTTCAATGGACTCATGATCTCAACTACTGAAATTACTACAATCTCCAAAAAAACCTCTTTCTGATATTAATCAACATATGCTCATAAGTGACTGGCTTCAAGAGGTATTTCCTGCAGTTCTAATGAGAAGCAGTGGCCAGTGGAGTTCAACCAGGTCTATTGTGAGGTAGTAACTCACCAATGACAATGATGGATATGTGGCTCAATTTTGTGGATTGGTTGAAGTTAGACATTAACGTTGTTGAATGCCAGTAGGCTCAGTGTGTTCGGGTGACCCAGAAAATTTCTCGCAAAGGTCAAGCAAGGATCAAGAAAACACTAAGAAGCGTTTCCTCCAATCAGCGTTTACTTGAAGTTTTAGTCAAAAATATCAAGGGGCGAAATGTCGCATGTAGAGGTTCTGATTGGCTGATTGCTATGCTGCTACTATGTTTAGTAGCATTCCAAAATCTCTTAGCAACCCAAGGACATTTAAAATATAAAAACCCTGTATTTTCTGTATTGAAACGAACCTTGGAGTAAAGTACTTCTTGCATACTTTGTGTCTTCTCTCTCGTTGTTCAGGTCGCTGTATAGTTCTAGCTTGAGGGTTACAGAATAGCTTAGGAAACGAATATAGCGTTTAGTTTGCAAGACATATCAATGGCGACGGGGATGGGATACGAACCCACGCGGGGAAACCCCAATGGATTAACAAGACTTATTACAGTGGTTAAGTGCTCGCGCTCGAGACTGATAGGTCTTGGATTCGAATCTCACAAAACGGGATCATATAAATTATTTAATAAAGACTTCTTATTATTACTACTATACTGAAATCATTTTGTATGTTAACATTTCTACATATCTAGTCCATCACCTAATACTCAATGAGAAAAATGATTTGTTTCTTACCAGTTTATTACAACAACAACAAAACTACGATGGAAACTGATTGATTTATGTGTGGGTATGTGAAATATCAGCAAACAAAAAACGTTATGCAGTTGATAGATTAAAATATTTTGATTTTTATCAATATAGATCACATGTAGAATATTTTTATAGTATGTTCTAAACACTACTGATATGGTATTTTTTTCTATCTTAAAAGTAATATCAAAATGAAGTGTTTTTTTGTAGATATTATAATCATTTCAATAGTTGAGATCATGAGTTAATTGAAGCTAGATCATCATGAAAAACCTGAAAGTATTGGATGGCTGTTTCGTACTATTGTAGGGCTCGTCGACAGTGCATATCTACGAACCCATTTTCAGGTTTTCCATGGTGATCTAGCTTCAATTGACTCATGATCTTGACTATTGATTTTAACTGTAATTGTTTATGTAAGGGTAAATATTATATGAATGAGCTCATTATTAATCAATAACAAATGTTCAGCTAGTTATTAGTCAATCAGAATGAAATAGAAAAATGTATTACTTACTACTCATTAGCATATAGAATATCACTTAGGAATCTATCAACCAAATAGGATAAAGTGAAAGAGTCGAGCACAAAGCTTTTCGTATATTTTGGAGGAACATAGGCAGCTTACCAGCATTCTCCATCTAACTCTGTCCTGGGCAATCCTTTCAAGGATCCTTTTCATGGTCTCTCTTCTTCTTTGACCTTGAGGATTCCAAGTTAAGGCTTACCTTGTGATGCAATTTGACTATCTCCGTAATGTATGTTGTATCCACTTCCAATCTCTTGTTCTAACTTCCTATTCAGTTGAAAGTTTGTTCTCTCCTATAGTATATTGTTGCTCATGGTATCCAGCCAATGGACATTGAGTGTCTTACGCAGACAATTGTTTATAAATACTTGTACATTTTTGATGATGATTGTGGTAGTTCTTCAAGTTTCAGCTCCATACAGTAAAGCTGTCTTGATGTCTATATTGAAGATTCTCATCTTGATGTTGGTTGACAGTTGTTTTGATTTCCACATGTTCTTCAACTGTGGGAATGCAGCCCTTGCTTTGCCAATCATCGCCTTTATATCTGCATCACATCCTCCGCATCCATTCACGTGAAATTTTCCACTTCTTCCAGACTTTCTCCACCACGTGTGATTATGTTGGTGTTTTCTGTGTTGCATTTGAGGATCTTGTTTTTTTCTTTTGTGTATGTTGAGGCCTACTTATGCAGACAGAGGCTGCTGTTACATTGTTTGTCTTGATCTGCATTCGCTGATGTATATGGGATAGAAGAGCTAGGTCATCTGCGAAGTCGTAATCGTCTAGTTGCATACAAGCTGTCCAATATATTCCGTGCTAACCAAAATAAACAATGAAATAATGTGGTAACGATATATTCGCGACAGTGTTAGTAGGAATCGTACCATATCTATTTTCCCCTATACATCAGTAACTTCCCAATGCACTCGAAAGACAATATTTTCCCACTGATTTACAACATACAGAATTATTGGTACAATAGGATATCAAACTAACTGGCAATACAAAATGGAAGAATAATACAGAGAAGCAATCAAATAGCGAAAAGTTATTGAGTTGTCAGGTGGGTAATACGAATTGTATTTATGAAAAACATAACCAAAATATCAATATAGGGGTTGTGGAGATTATTAAGTTTTTGATTGAGATCATGAACCGATTGATGTTAGCCCACCGTTGGAAAACTGGAAGCACTGGACGGCCGTTTCGCTCAAGGGCCTTCAGTCTCGCGGGCGAACGCTTAACCTACTAGATCACTGAGCCGGCATCCAATGGCATTAAAGTTCGCGCACGAGACTGAAGGCCCTGGGTTCGAACCCCGTGAGCGGGATAGTGGATG